ATGTGACATATGCAAATGAAAATAAGGCTGTGTTAGATGATACTACATTATATTGTTCTTTTTAAGTTTGTGAAAACGAAGAAGGAAATTTGTTTGGGTATATACACACATATATACAGGGTAATTCAAAATTCCCGCACCCGGAGTACAAGACGTGATACTTTATGCTAAAATAAACAACTTTTTTCTTTAACAAAATTACATCCGACATGTAGTTTTTGCGGTAGAGTAGATTGACGTTAACGAATAAGCGTTCTTGTCTACATGACGCTCAGGGCCGGCGCGCATTCCTTACTCGCGTGTTCCTTACTTCGGCTATTATTCAACAATAATATTTGAAGATTTAAATATGGCTTTATTATAAATTAATTTATGACATCTTAATACAGTCTTAAGTAATAAATAATAATAATAATAATTACTTTCATAACTTACGTAATAAATGATTCAAAGAATTGTCTCTGATGTCGTCGCACCATTTGAAAATATAGATACATATGAGTAATAATAAATCGTTTTGCGAGCCGTTCTAATTCTAAATATCGCACAATTGCGTATGATAAATATTAAACTTAAAGAATAGCTTACGGATTAAGCGAATGCATAATTCTCAAATGCTGACAAACTGATCTATTTTGAAACAGTGATTAAAAATAAAATAAAATGTTTGAGGTGAGGTACATATTAAGCGCTAACTCTTTTTTTATCCTTTACGATAAAAAATACGATAAAAAAATTGATCAAAATTATTAATTTTCATGTTAGTTTTAATAATATTATACATTTTAATTAATAATACATTTATTAATACATTTATATATATATAATATATATATAATACATTTAACAGTACATTTTAATAATAATTAAGTTTCAATAATACATTTAGCAGTACAAATTTTTTCAATGTTTATTACATTTTAAAAGTCAATTGTGCCGCCGGCATTAGCATGATCCAAGGTACACCACGAGGAGATTGCATGGTCGAACTTGTACCTATCCTAACTAAGAAGTATATCTCGAATATATACTCCGGCAAAATATAGCATAAAACAACGTGATAGCTCCGATGAAGTCGGATATCTCGAAGCGTAATTAAATAGAAACATCGTATAATAAAGCAAGCGGAAAATTATCGCGACGATCAGCATACGCTTTACGTAGTGCTCTAATTAATTACATTGTTTAACATACCTATAATTGTGTTAAAACGTATTTAATCATGCTAAACATGATTTATAATGATAAGAAATGTATAAGGAAAACTTCAGTTAAAATAACATTTTTGGATAGTATAGGCGCGATGCGGCACATACCTTACTAGGCTGTGCCAGACGACGAAGCGATCTATCCGCCTCCCTGCGCGCCACTGCCGCCGCCACTCGAGTGTAGGTCGTTCTATGAATTCGCGCGGCATGGCTTAACCGCATATTGGCTTAGACGTTTTCTAATTCGAAAACTACAGTAAGTATCTTAAAATGGTATAAGAATTTTTTGTTCCCTTTAATCCATTCTCCGCCCCCAATGTGGCCCGACTCATCTTAAGAAACACCTTGTATATTTTATCGCATATTTTTTATGAATGTCGAATTCGCCGCTGCTCCATCACAAAAGTGACGTCATCATTATTATTATATCATCATCCTCATCGTCCCTCCACCTTTTCAATCCATTTTTAATCTCGCCAATATCGCCATCCTCTCAAGCAACATATGAAAACGATTCAGTCTCGTGATGACGTCAGTGGAGCTAAGTCTAGAAAAGAAAAATATAATTTGAAATTAACATGCTCAGTTATAGTAACACATGTCCACGCGGAATAACGTCTCGGAATTGTTCTTACTGTTTAAAATAGAACATTAGATTAGTACTATATACCAATTTTTCTTCTTTTCAAAATAAAAAGTAAAAGTAAATTACTGAATGAATATATAAAATGAAACGATAATAATTACGTTCAATCAAGAAGCGAAAAAAATTTTATATGTAAATCCTAGTAATAGGTTATTTTTGTTTCGTTATACCTCCCTTCTCTATGTTCTCAAGTCAGTTTCTCCCATGTCCGCTCCCTCTCATCCCGCTCCCCACCACTTGCGTCCGGAGGAGATGGCCCTAAGTGACTCCCTGCAGATCCGCTTCAAAACGTCTCTATATATGCGCTCCGTACCTTACGTATTCGTCTCATACCGCATTAGTTACACGAGACAGAGATAAAGGCAACACAGTTTATCACAGTGCAGTAGTGATTATTGAAATAAGTTTTGTAAATAATAATAATAATAATAACAATAATAATAATAACAATACCAACAACAACAGTAACTTTGTCAACCTGCTAAAATCAGTCAAATACTTTTGAAGGTACGTTTATAAAAGAATATACAAAATATTTTGAACAATTAAGAACAAAGCATTAATAAAGAAATTAATACTTTAATAAAATTTTATTCATTCCATTTTCATCGTAGAGCAGCTAATTGCATTTAATGTTGACATCAATAATATATTGATAAGACGATGTAAAAAATGTGTAGATTTGCTGACACACATAAAACAATAATTTTTGTCTGCATATGTTATTGACACATAAGTATAAAAAGGGACAAATCGTTGGAATGAATTCAGTTTCGCTTGATTTCGAATAAGTACTACTAGTTGCTAATAATACTAATTGGCTAATAAGTATTTATTTTTTATAACTGCATTATATGTTAATCGTATAGTAGTTAATTGCAGTGTTCAATGTTAACATAAATAATGTATTGCAAAACATTGCGTCTTATTAATCTAGGCGAAAAATAATATTCAACTGTTAGGATTTGATGGAACAGTATATTTATACAATAATTTGATAACATTTTTAAAACACTTGTAGGAAGACGTCATATATCGTCGTGAGAAAAAGTCCTTCCTCTCTACCTCCCTTACAACTGATTCCTCGTGCCAATTCTGAAGAAATCTCCATGTACTTAGCGGTGCACAATCCTCCTCTGCTTCTGTACTCCTGCACCTCAGAAACTCTTCTCTCCTGAATAATCATTTTCTTGATACTCTACCTTCTTCATCTTATTGCTCTAACTCTTTTATTCACCTGCTTTCCTCCTCTCCTCACGTTTCTTCAATTTTGCTCCAATCACTCACAGTAGTCTCTCCAATATTTTTAAGCGCATTCGCCTGACTTCCGTTGGGCCGCTTGATCTCTCCGATTATATGCTCCTACTGTGCCTTCCTTAATGTCTTGATCCCCTTCTCTAAACTTTTCCCTCTCTCACAATACCTTCCCTTCTCCTGAAAACACTCAATTCTTCCTATTCCTAAAACTAATAACTCCTCTTCTCCTTTATCTTTTCGCCCTATCTCTCTCCCCTCTTTCCTCTCAAAGTTGCTTGAGTATATCTGCTTTTCACAGCTTAATGCCTTTGTCTCAAATTTTAATATCCTTCCCTCCTGTCAGTCTGGTTTTCATCGATCTCACAATCAATCTTACGATGAAATTGCTTCACATCTCTGATGTCAAGCTTCGTAATTTCGACAATTGTTGCCTTACTTCTATCGTTGCGCTGGACTTCACAAAGGCTTATGATATCGTTAATCATGATCTTTTAGTCAAACTGAAGTTATGCGGTCTTTCATCCTGCTCTCTCGCTAATCTACTTGTTTCTTAAAAACCGCATACAGCATCCTCGTATATAATCCTTTTCTTCTTTTTTCTTCTACTCGTGCCATTTTCTTTGGCGTTCCCCAAAGTTTCATTCTCAGACCTTTACTTTTTAATATTTTTGTGTCCGATTTGTCTAATGTTTTTCTGTCCTCCGAACTCTTCATGTATGCACACGACGTAATTCTTCTCAAATCCTTTCATCCAATTGATGTTTCAGCAACTTGTTCTGCTGTGAATAAAGACTTAAAATCTATCGCCGAATGGTCCACTAGTAATGTCCTGCATTTAAATCTTTCTAAATTGTCCTTGTTCTTCAATGTTGTTATTTATCCCATATTCAGTCCTTCGACATATCTCTCAATTCCTCGCTCCTCCTCTATTAAGATTATTGGTGTACATGTTGACTCTTCATGATCATTCGAATCACATGTGTCCGTCAAGTGTCAGGCTGCTTATGCTCGTTTACGTCTTCTTTATCCTCTTCGGCACATCCTTTCCTGTTCTTAAAAATTCCTCACTTCTCAATTACTTGTTATTTCTCTATTTGATCATGCTGATGTCGTCTACGTTCCTGCTCTTAACTAACATCTGCTAAATCGTGTACAACGTATCCAAAATTCTTGTCTCCACTTCTCCTATTGTGTTCGTAAGTACGACCATGTATCTCCGTATTACCAAAGATCTAGCTGGCTTAAGATTTGGCAATGTTTTATTCTCCACCTGTGTTGTCCTGTATTTTCTCTCCAATATTCTTTTATATCTGCGACGTCTCCTTCAGTTGAACTCTGAGCAACATTCCTCTTTTAATCCTCTTGTCACCAGATACCAAGATTACTTATCCTTCCCCATATATCGGTCTATTAAGTTCCGTGCCGCTTTCTCTTACACCTCTGTCAAATATTTTAATTTCCTTCCTGATTCAATAAAAATCTCTTCCTCTCTATTCTTTTTTCATTCTGTTGCCTCGCGTTTCATTGCGTCACTCATAACATTTAAACAAGACTGATGTAATTGGTGTATTTGCGGGTGTATGTGCGTGAGTGTGTGTGTGTGTGTGTGTGTGTGTGTGTGTGTGTGTGTGATTTCAGCTATTAGTTTATCTCTTATTGTATTGTTGTCTTATTTTAATTTTATTACTAGTAGGCTTTGTAACAGCAATTCTGCTGACGCTTAACCATGCAAACTATTATTGTCTATTTACTTATGTTTATGTTAATCTATTGTATCATACTTTATGTCTATTACTCTGTACATGTAATCTTTTTTATATAGCTTTGCAATAAACTAAATTAAATTAAATTAAATTAAATTAAATTAAATTAAATATTATACTGTAATACTCACATTCTTTTCATCATCTCATTATCATCGCTGATATCCAAGCTGATTTTCAATCTGTCTGGTTGTTTCGATGGTTCCGCCCGCTGTCTGAACGTTTAGCGTATCCTCACTTAAATTAGTCGCTTTTTCCAGCAGTAGACCGATCTGCATGTATGCGGCACATTCCATCAAAGTGCTGATGTTGATAATCTTTATGGTTAATTCTTGCACTGATTGACAAACTCGACAAGAAAACTTGACAAGCAGATTAATTAACCACGGAGGTTGTGTGAGATTTTATAGTAAAAATGTTCGTGAAACATGATACTATTCCACGAAAAAGAACAATGCCTCGGTCAAAATTTACTGAAAAATTAACCGAAAAGTATATCACGCGATCGAACGATCTCATGAATAAACTTCAGCATTTTTATCAGTCTTATGTTCTATTTAAATCAATGTGTTATATCAACAGGCAAAAATACAATGCCCCGGTCTAAAAGTTTATATCTCAGCCGAAAAATATATCACGCGCAATAAAATTTTCTTCGGATAAATTGGAAAATTCGCGTTGCAGTATCCACAGTTTATCCTTACTGAAAAAAGATGCCAATTTATCCAAACTTAAGACGAGAAATCTATATGAATCTATAAACTGTAATTTTACACAATTTTTTTCGTTTTTATTACAATACTATCAACATGTTTGGTGAATGAAATTTTTTTTTCCTTTGTTATTGGAAGCAGATCAATGCATCCTTCATACGCGATGGCAATTTCTCTGATGATGAAATGAGCGTCGTAGCCAGATAAATTATGAAACACTACGGGTATGCAACGCGAATCCTTATAATTTATATTGCAGTTTGAATGTGCGGGGCTTCTGTATCGTCCAGTTAAATGACAATGATTATGCATCCGCGTATCATCAGGCGTGAACGGTTTCTCGCACACATGGCAGTGCGTGGCGCTGTTAAATTTTTGCAAATCGTCTCGCGTGAAATCTGCCATGGGTACGTTAACTGAAATTATAGACTGTATACTGTGCGCCAAATTTCTGAGTTCTTTCGCAAATCACGCTATACAGTCCTTATCACGGCGAAAACGATAACCCGACAGTGAGTTGTCGTACCAGTCGTACGAGCAGTGCACGTAATATCCGATGCTAAACACGTTATGATGATGATACGTGTACGTAACCGATTCAGGATCCGTTTTTTCCAAAGCGTACTCCAGGTCGACGTACACAACGAACGGGACGTGATCCTTCCTGCAGTGAAACTTAGCCATTTGTCGCTCTCGCTCAACAGCGTTATTGCGCAATCGTTTAATTTTTCAGTCTTCACTGTAGATCTCCAATTTTGCGCTCGAGCTGAAGTAGTGCAACCGCACATTTATTATTAATATTATTATTATTATTATTGTTGTTATTATTATTATTATTATTATTATTATTATTATTATTATTATTATTATTATTATTTCCTGAAAGAATTTTCATGTACCTATCGCAGAAAAATGTCCTGTTCTTTTTTCTGTTAAGTTGTGAGCTAGTCGGGACAGATCTTTAATCAATGCAAAATGTCCTGCGTTGTCATCTTCTACGTATAAGAAGTTCACATGCTCCTCTTTCGGTCGGTTCATATCGGCACAATCCTTTCAATTGGTATAGACGTTGATGGAAATGTCATTCAAAGTTTCGAATTTCTTAATTTGATTCAACGTCATTCGATGCCCGCGAGATTTAGAACCGACATATAATGTGGATTAATGAGGATTCCCGTTCTATCTTTTTTTGAGCCGGATGTAGAATGGCAACAACAGACCATGCGAAACACGCATTGTCCGCGGTTTGCACGTTGATTACCACTCTCTTAAACGTAATTTCTCGCGAGAGTTTGATATGACATCCAGCATGCAGAGGATTGTGCTTGTTCGCATTCATCGTTAAATTCAGTATAGGCGACAATACCCATTCACTATCACGTTCCTGAAACTCTTCCAGTGATGCTAGGGTAGGCTCGACGACGCGCGACACGTACCACTTGCGCAAATCGGTGCATTGAAAGACTTCAAAGGGTGGCGATACTCTTATTCGCGCGTTTATCGCCCGTCACAAATTCGCCATTAAAAACAGTGTTTATTTTTATAGAGTCATATCGTCGCATTACACTATACACATGCTCGAATATAATTTCACTCGCGTCTTCAAAGAATCGGCGAGGCTCGATATCTTTAGAGTTTATCACCGCGTCAGAATATGATTTTCGAACGTCGTTTCGATGACGCACCAACGGAATCTGTACCCGGCGTCTAATGTATGAATCTTCCGCGCACAGATTTCTTTAGACTCTCAAGCCGCGCGATACATGTGATCAGTGATTGTCTATTACCAATCGATAATCACGGGCGTTTATACGGCTTGCTCCTTCAAGGATTCGATAAACTCATCGCAACATTGCGATCCCACGCGTTGCATTCGTCTATAGTACTAAGTAGGGTAGCTTGCTCAATCAAATACTCCATATTCACTTGCGCTATCGAATTGATTAATGACTATATTTGACTAAATCTTGTTATTTTTATATCATTATGCGCTATTTGATAACGTGCATCTCAATTATATCACATTATATATATTATTATATGGCAACGTCGCATTTGTGTCATATTATTGTACATTAATCATTGTCATTGCGAAACATGTTAAATGTCCTTGAAAAAAATTTCTTATTTTACGCTCACAAGATCGTATTGAAATTTACAAATTTGTTGAAAAACGAACTGATATTGAAAGATTGATGCAGTTCACTGATCACTTGTCGTCGTCGTCGTCGTCGTCGTCACTAATGATTCTTCTGAATCTTGTAATTCAACTCATAAAAATACATGATATGGACAATATAAAATTATCATTATGTGACAAGTGTTTATATATAAAACCGTCGATTATACTTTTTATGCTTGAAATCGATAATGTGTCGAGCATATATATTTCAATTTGTGTCAATATACAAATAATGTGTGTAAACGAAAGATTTAAATATTTTGTAAGTTATATACGACATAACTGTATTACTAACAAATGCGATGCGACAAACATTTTACGTAAAATTTCTAATAAAAATTCAACTATCGAATGCGAATTGATTGTGTACACTTTAGATAATATTGTACATAATGCATTGCATGAAAAATAAATGCGTATGTAAATTGTATATCTCAGAGTTTGCAATTAATCGTTCCTTTCTTCTTTCCACCTCTGCGGTATCGCGTTACGCGCGCATTATCGCGCTCGATAAATCGCGCTGTTATTATTCCGAAGTGCGAATAATTATACAAAATAAAATAAAATATATTTCGCGTGCTAGAAGAATAAGATGACGTATAACAGAAAAAATAGTATGCATGGTAAGTAAGGTAAACGTACTAATTTCTGAACAAGACCGATTTCTGAATAAAAACATAAATGTTTATTAATATTAAGCTTTTCTCAATTCAGATTTTAAAAAGTACTTATATGTTAATTAAATTATAGTATCTGAATGTTGATGGAAAGAACATTTTGTACGTGAAATATTATTTTGATTTTTCAAAAATAGTTTTGTTTCCTAGAAACATGAAATGTTCTTGGATGTCCTAATCATTTTGATTAAAAATGTGATAAAAATCGTAAGCGAATTTACGCTAAATTTTTGTATAACTAAAATATAAATTATATTTCAAACATCGGAAATATCTAATAAATAAGATCTATTAAAAGAAATTGCAAAATAAATTCGTGTTTTATTAAATATTAATGTTCATAAATAGGTACATACAATTGCTATAAATCCAATAACTGAACGCGCGTTCTGTTATTGATGCACTTCGATTTGATGAGCATATTGCTGTACACGTACATAAACAGAGTTATTGAATTGAAAAATCGTAAGTATTATTATGTTTACATTTATTAAATTATTATTTTACAATAGTTTTTCTAAATTTATTTGTTAAAAAGAATATTTTTTATGGGAAACTTATTATTTCTTTATATTTATAGACAACTGTGTTTCTAACTTGTACACATAGTATGTATTTTTTTTGTGAATAGTCGTTTCAACAAAATATAATTTTGTAAAAATTATTGTGCTTTTTATAGAATTGATTTCAAAATGCCGAAAGAAAAAATATTAAGAAGATATACAGAATGATGTGGATCCAAGTAATAAAAAGTCCAAGTAATAAAAGTGAAAGAGCATTGACATCGCATTAATTTAATATTCCACAAAGTACTTTACATTCAAAGCTCAATAATAAATATCCTATGAATGCTAGACGTGGACCACCTTCTATTTTATTTAATCTTATTTATGAAAAAGAAGAAAATTTTATAATACAATGGATTTTCTTTTGTGTTGTCATGAGGATTTCCAATGAATAAAAATCAACTTTTGTTGTAGGTCTGTACAGAAATATATACTTAAATTGAATAAAAAAAAATCCTTTCAAAAACAACAGACCAGGGCGCAGTTAGTAAAATGAATTTTGTCGAAGACATTCAGAACTTATCGCAAGAATAGTTCAGACTCTATCAAAGAATCGTGCCGAAGCAACAAAGGAAAAATTACGTGAATGGTTTAACGACATCAAAACTTTCTTGGAACAAAAAGATCTTCTTGATATTGATCCTTCGCGAGTATTTAATCTTGATGAAAGTGCTTTCGTTTTGTGCCCAAAAGCAGATCATATTTTAGTCAAAAAGGGTTCCAAATCTGTATATAAAGTAATTAAATTTTATGGCGATGAAAAAGAGCGTCTAATGATTTTGTTTAGTGAGTGCGGCCGGAATTGTGGCACCTCCGATGATTTTATTCTGATATTAGAGACTACCTAATACTATTCTCAGTAAAATTCCTCAAGATTGGAGTGTCAGAACAACTGAAAAAGGATGGATGACTGGTGAATCTTTCTATGAGTACACAGAATGTTTTCCATCTTTGACTCGTAAAAAATGTCATTCAATTTCCAATATTACTTTATGTAGATGACCATTCATCACATGTTACACTATCATTGATTAATTTTTGTCTTGAAAACAAAATAGAATTACGCGCATTGTTTCCAAATGCAACACACATATTGCAACATATTGGACATTGACAGTGTTTCATCCACTGAAACCATCTTGGAAATCTCTAAATGATCAATGGAGAATTGACAATGCTCCACAACGTTCAAGAAAAGAAGATTTTGCACAACATCTTGAAAAATTGATTGAAAAAATAAATTTATCTGAAATGATAAAAAACGGATTTAAAACTTATGGATTTCTACCTTTTTATCCGGATGCTATTAATTATAATATTTTAAATAAAAATGAACAAATGAATTTAAATTGTATGAAAGAAAAAACTAAATCAATTATAGCTGATTCTTGTGATAATCAAAAACAGAGAGAAAATGAACATAAAAAATTTCTCAAGATGCTTGAAAATTAATTAAGCGAAGAAAAAATACAAGATTTTCGAAATGCTTTTAATAATATCTTTGTTAGTGACATAAAAAATCATGGATTATTTAATATATGATTAAAAATCAAGAAACTTTGTGATAGAGTAAATTTTATAAATTTTTCTTTCAACGAAAATATTTGACAGTCTAATTATATTTATTTTCTATATTTCTTTACATTCTAAATCTAGTTTTTCAATAAGTTTATTATTCTTCATAAATTATTATTTTTAATAATTAAAATTATTTTGTGTAGGAGAATATAATGATATTCAGAAGTCTTCAAATGAAGAAGCAATTTTTTAAATAAGTAATAAAAGTATCTTGATTCCTATACAACAAAATGATATGCATAATGATTCTTTTCTTCTTGATATATATATATATATATATATATACATTTTTCACAAGATTCATCAGCTATAAATATAACGAAAATTAAATAATAAATAAAAGTAACGAAAATTTGTCAAGAAAGTAATGATAATATTGACAATACGTTGTTGAACATTGGATCACAGGACATGACAGAAACTAATAATATTACAGATGTTAATATTTCTATGAGTAAATTTTTTGTAAGAAATATTACTCATAACATTTAAATTATCTTTACAAATAATTGAATTATTTTCTTAGATAATTAAATTGTGATTAATTATTGTAATAATAATTACAATGGCCATATAAATCATCTTAAAAATTATGAGTGTGAATCTGCAATTAAAAGTACTCTCAATTAAAAAATTTTATTTCGTAGTATAACAATAACTGTTCAGCAGAAAAAATAATTTTGTATCTATTGTAAAATTTTTTCATACATGATAAATTTATTTATTTAGCTTCAGTAAGAAACTAGAGGCAAAATCAATCATATTAAGGAATTTTACAGCAGTTGCAAAGCTATTTTTTTTTAACTTAACGCAGCCAATGTATTCTTATAGTCAATACATATTATTTTATTAAATATTCGTACACAAATTTTAGACAAAAATTATGAGAAAGGAACTTTACAAACTGGTGATTCCATCATCATTCAAAGATATATTTTTTTGACAAAATCTGTAAAGGACAAAAAAGAAAAAATTCTAAAGAAAAAGTTCCGAGTGTTGCAATTTCCGTGGCAAGAATACTATATAAAAAAAGAAGAGGATAAATTACAAAAAGAGAAAAAAAAAGAGCGACAAATGAAGTATAAAGAAGCACAATTACAGAAGAAAAAATTAGCAGAAAAAAAAGTATTAAAGAAGAAGACGAAAGGTTGAAAGAAGAAAGGAAAAATTAAAAGTGATCAAGAAAAAGAAAATCAGACATAAACTAACTAAACTTGGCATATTATTCTTTCATATGATTTCATGGCATATTATTAAAGTTTAATATACGATTTTCATAAAGTTTGATATATTTATATTTACAAAGTTTAATATATATTTAGCATATTATTTCTTTATAAAGTTTAATATATTTCTAAGTAATATTATAATACAATAGTATTGTAACATTTACAATCGCATTATAATACTTTATTTGATCTTATTATTAATAAAATTGTAATATTTTGAATAACTGTGTTAACATTAATATCTTCTTATATTCTTAAATAATTTTGTATATATTTCATATTTTCATCAAGTTTACATTGATTTTAAAATAATATATAGATTATACGTTCGAGAAATAGGTACAACCGTGTTCAGCTTTAGAAACATGGTTTTTAGGTTGTAATTGGATCAGATGTATATCCAGATTCTCGAAAATTATTTCTCTTCGAAATTATTTCATTTTAAACATGTAAAATTAATTTTTACAGTGTTATTTCGAAAATAGAAGGTTTGTATTTTCAAATAATTACAAAAGCTTTAATAATTACAAAAACGACGTTTATTTTACTATTTTAAATTGATTATGT